TTGAACTCAGGCCCTTGAGCTTGCCAGGCAAGCATTTATTCTACTGAGCCATCTCCCGGCCCCATCAAACAATTTAGAAGTGACTTTAGGAATAACAGCACTGCAGATGTAATTTACTGCCTCCTCCTTTCCGTTGCAGTATGGAAGACGCGACCCAAACAGGGCTGAGCTCCTTCTTATGTTATTTTATTTCATTTTTTGTTTGTTTGTTTGTTTGTTTTTTGCGGAACTGGGGATTGAACTCAGGCCCTTGTGCTTGCCAGGGAAGCACATTTTATTTCATTTTTGAGACAAAAGCTCTGTAGTTACCCAGGCTGTTTGAGCTTCCTGCTTCAGTGGCTGAGATTTCAGGTGGGCAACATCACACTCAGCTACTGGTTAAATTTAGTGTTTGGTCTTTTTCTTTTATGGTACCAAGAACCCAACTCAAGGCTTTGCACTTGCTAGACAGGTGCTGCGCTGCTGAGCTTCATCCCTGTTTAGATGAGATCAGAATAGAGCAGGGTAAGTGCCCAGCCCAACACAACTGGTACCCCTATAAAAAAGGGGAGCGGGTGCTGGGTACTGAGGCACACAGTCCTAACTACTTCAGAGGCTGAGGTTGAAGGACCACAAGTTTGAGGCCTGCTTGGGCAATTTAGTAAAACCCTGTGTCAAGATTAAAAAGTAAGGGGCCCGGGAGATGGCTCAGTGGAATAAGCGCTTCCCCGGCAAGCGCAAGGGCTGAGGAGGCAGCTCTCTGGGTTCAGTCCCCAGCAATGGGGCGAGCTGGGGGTTGGACAGGTGGGCGAGGCCACATGCATACAGGCAGAGACTTGGGGATGCTTCTAAAGCCAAGGCATGGGCTGGGGAGATAGCTCCTGCCTGGAAAGTTCAAAAGGACCAGGATTCGATCCTGGGTACCACATGCCTTGACAGCATGCACCATGTCAGCCCCCAAAGCCAGGTGTGGTGGCGCACACCTGTGATGTCCATGCTAGGGAGGTGAGACAGGAGGATCACTACGAGTCTGAGCTGCGTAGCGAGACCCTGTACTAAATACATAAATAAATAAAGATTAAAAATAAATAAATAAAGCCAAGTGATGCCAAAGAGGGTCAGCAACCACCAGAAGGTGGCTAGACACCTAAAACAGATTTTTCTCTCACAACTCTCAGAAAGCATCAAACTTGATCTCCAACTTCTGACCACCAGAACTGAGAACTGATTTCTGTTTGGTGGTGGTGGTAGTTGTTTTTTTTTTTTTTTTTAAATATATTTTTACGCATTTAGGACAGGGTCCACAGGGCCTCACTACAAGATTGGACTCATAGTGACCCTCCTGTTTTCAGCCTCTCAAACACTGGGATTACAGGCAGTGCCACCACCCACCTTACCCAGTCTCAATTGTCCTCTCAGCAGGTCAGGGCTGGCAACAGCACACCAGGGATTGAACCCTGGTCCCTAGGCAGGTGCTTTAATCCACTGATCTATTTTGCGGGTCCTGGTGGTAGTTCTGTGTGTATGTAGGTAGGTATATATGTATATGTCCAAGGGCATGCTTGTGTATGTGGGGGTGGGAGGCTGTATGCTGAGTCAAGGTCTTTATTTAGAGGTCTACTGGGGATTGAACTCAGAACCCCGCACTTGCCAGGCAAGTGCTTATTCTACTGAGCTATCTCCCTGGGCCCTGAGTCAAGGTCTTGCTGTGCAGTTCAGGCTGCTGTCCTTGAACTCACTACATAACTCAGGCTGACTCGGAACTCGTAGCAATCCTCCTGCCTCAGCCTCCGGAGTGCTGGGCTTACAGGCGTTGGCTTCTCGGCTCCTGAAGAGGCAGCCTAGGGAGCAGGCCCTCAGCTCTCTGCCCTGCACCCCACAGGCGGAGACCGCGGTGCCCAATATCATGGAAACAGCCTTCCACCTGGAGCAGGCCGGCGTGGGGCTGAGCGTGGAGGAGAGCTTCCGCATCTACCTGGCGCTGAAGCAGCTGGTGGAGCAGCAGCCGGTGCACACGTGCCGCTTCTGGGGCAAGATCCTGGGGCTGCGCCGCAGCTACCTGGTGGCCGAGGTGGAGTTCCGCGAGGGCGAGGAGGAGGGCGAGGAGGAGGAGGGCGAGGAGCTGCTGGAGGGCGGCGACACGCTGGAGCAGCCGGGCGGCGAGGAGGAGGGCGAGGAGGACGAGGAGAAGGTGGCGGACGCCGTGCCCAAGCCGCAGTGGAAGCCGCCGCCCGTCGTGCCCAGGGAGAGCCGCGCGGGCACCAACAAGTACCTGTACTTCGTGTGCGCCGAGCCGGGCCGGCCGTGGACGCGGCTGCCGCCCGTGACGCCCGCGCAGATCGTGTGCGCGCGCAAGATCCGCAAGTTCTTCACGGGCCACCTGGACGCGCCCGTCGTCAGCTACCCGCCCTTCCCCGGCAACGAGGCCAACTACCTGCGCGCCCAGATCGCGCGCATCTCGGCCGCCACGCACATCAGCCCGCTCGGCTTCTACCAGTTCAGCGAGGAGGAGGGCGATGAGGAGGACGAGGGCGGCGCGGGCCGCGACTCCTTCGAGGAGAACGCCGACTTCGAGGGCATCCCCGTGCTCGAGCTCGTCGACTCCCTGGCCAACTGGGTGCACCACACGCAGCACATCCTGCCGCAGGTGAGTGAGCACGGGCGGCCTCGGGAGACCCCGCGGTATGGCCAGGCTGGTATCCCTGTAGGGCGCCACAGGTCCTTGGGATCGGGGCCAGATGGTGCACACCTGGTATTCTAGCACGCTGGGAAGCAGAGGCAGGAAGACTGCGACTTCGAGCCTGGCCTGGGCGGCTTAGTGACTTAGCAAGACCCTATTGCAAGTCTGGGCATGGTGGTGCATACCTGTAATCCCAGCTGTTGGGGAGGCTGAAAACAGGAGGATTACTACAAGTCTGAACTGTGTAGTAAGACCCTGTACAAAAAACAAAAAAAAAACCCTATTGCAAAAATTAAAAAGGACTGAGGGTGGTGGGGTGTATGCCAACACTTGGGAGGCTGAGGCAGGAGGATCACTGTGAGTTTGAGGCCAGCTTAAAATATATAGGGAGAAGGGGCCAGGGAGATGGCTCAGTGGAATAAGCGCTTCCCTGGCAAGAGCAAGGGCCTGAGTTCAATCCCTGGTTCTGCAAAAAATAAATAAATAAATAAATAAATAAATAAATAACATAAATAGGGAGGGGCTGTTTTACCCCACCCCAAAATAAATAAAAATAAAAAGAGCTGAAGGTATAACTTGTAGTGAAAAGCCTGAGTTCAGTCCCCAGTATTGGCCTGGGAGGGCTGGCTGTAGAGAGCAGATGCATTTTGCAGCAGAATTTTCCAGATTTCCAAAGCGTTGCTTGGGCCGAGGGCTGTGTGTGGTGCAGTGCACGGGCGAGGGCCACAGCCTGTCTGCAGATGCAGCAGCACGTCTGAAGCAAAGCCGACTCTCCTAGCTCAGGCCTGCTGCCAAACGACTCCCGACACTGTCTTGGTTTTCTTTTCATTGCTAGGATCCAGCTGAGGGCCTCCCATGGGCGAGGCCAGAGCTCTGCCACCCAGCTACACCCCAGCACCAAAAATCTGGTTGCAAAGCTATTCAGCTTTTAGGAGATTATGGACTTTAGTAGGCACAGTGACGCGTGCCTGACGCCCAGCACTCGCAGGAATTGAAGCAGAGGGCAGCCTGGGCTGCACAGCAAGCTCAAGGCTGGCCTACATTACGTAACAAGACCCTGTCTCAAAGCCAAAGAAAAAAAAGAGGAGAGGGCTGGTGAGATGGCTC